AGTTTACATTTAGGTATTTTGGAATGGAACACAGCCTTTGCTGTTGGAGCTTGGCTCATGTTGTGATGTCATCATCCTGAGACAATAGCAACTGTTAGCACTCCAATGCAGCTAAAGCTTCTCTAAGACATCAAACTTGCAGTTCTGGCTGGTGTCTGAGCTGCACTTCAAACTGCCGGACCACAGGGACCACCCATATTGTTTTTATGAACACATTTTGAATTTAGATTTTAAATATTATCTTTAGCAGTGTTAGAAACATTAGCAGAAGTTAGCATCAGATAATCATCATCCTGTGACAAACATTAACAATGGGCGCTGCTAGCCACCGCTAGCCACTGCTAACAATGGTTAGGGTTAGGGAAGCTTTAGCTGCTTTGGAGCGCTAGCGGTTGCTAAAGTCTCAGGATGATGACATCATAACATGAGCCGAGCACCAACAGCAAAGGCTGCGTTCCATTCAGAAATACATAACTTCAACATTTAAGGTTTAACTTTTACCTTTAAACATTTAGATTTAGGATTTAGGATTTAAATATTTTTTAACATTTAAATTGAACATTTAGTAAAAATTAGCTAAATATAAGAACAGTGAGATAAATAATGAAAAACATGTTAGTGAAATTTTTTAACATTTCATTTTACCCTTGGTGCCACATATACTACCATGTCGAATTTTAGCTGCAGGTCTGTAAAACTGACTTAGTTATAACAATTTTAGTTTTTTAAGTTCTGATTTCAGTGGTTCATGAAATATTTTGCTAACAGACACGCAGGTCTGTGCAAAACCTTCTAAACAGTCTGAAAACGTAAAAAGAAATGAACGCAGACTAAAACAAAAAGCCACTGACCCACAATCTTGACGAAGAGTTCAGCCTTGTCCTCGCCTGCAGGGTTGGTCACGCTGATGGTATAGATCCCCTCATCTTCTCTCAACGCCCCGTCGATCATGAAGCTGCACAGGGTCTTATCCTTCTCCACGCGGACCCGTCCCTCAGCCTCAGAAACCACCTGCCGCAGGGAGAAACAGACGCTTACAACAGGTGAGTCAGACCTCCCACTCTGCAGCGTTTCAGCGGATCCTCGGACTGATGCACGGATCTGAGYTGGGTTTGGTTCTCACCTGATCTCCTTTCATCCAGCACACGTCGGGAGCTGGCTCTCCTGTGATCTCCACGTCAAAACGGAGCTTGTTTCCAGCCACCACTGTGATGGTGTTCGTGCCTCCGCTGCCGGTGTCCATGTGAATTTTGGGAGGATCTTTTTTACGTGAGAAGTTAAGAAAAGAGGTCAAAATTAAAACTGAAATTATTTTTATAGCTTCTCTTAGCAGAATGACAAAAGATGGAAACCAGGGGGAAGCTGTAGATTTCATAAATCCTAAAAAGCTGTGCAGCCTAAAATAAATATGGAAGAAAACGACCACATTTATCAACCAATCTGGGTCCAGAAAAGACCATTAGAATCTGGATGAGAACAGTTTGACAACAACTACTCTGAAATGTRATATTGCAAACACTAATGTACATTATGGTGTACATTTAGGACATCCTCAGGTCTCAGGATGGTTTTTCCTGAGACGTGACTAGGGCTGAAGAAGATATCGTTGAGCATCTTCATCTTCGTAATGTACATGTGCGCAAACAAAAACAAACTTTAATTTTGTCATAAAACTTCTGGGACAGTAATGGCAGCGTTTGTCTGGGAAACTGATGTCGGGGAAACTCAAGCTGAAGAAGAAAAAGACGAGGATTTTGACAAAAATGAGGAGGAAAAGAGGTAAAATAGGGTTTAGCATGAATGCTAATATTGTAAAGCTAGAAAAAACAGAAACTACGAGACGTAGAAGCAACACGTTGGCAACTTAAAGTGTTATTTAGGTCAAATGTAGAAAGTTCTATTTATTWTCTCAATGTTTAATCGCAGGGTTAGAAGAAAATGTAGTATCAGTTTTTTCCAATATTGTGCAGCCCAAGACCTGAGAGCATTTTTCCAGAGACCTGAATGAGTTTTTCCTGAGACCCGACAAATTTTACCTTGAGACCTGAAGGAGATTTTTCTGAGACCTAAAGTAGTTTTTCCTGAGACCTGACAATGTTTTTCTTGAGACCTGACAATGTTTTTCCTGAGACCTGAATGAGTTTTTCCTGAGACCTGAAGGAGTTTTTTCTGAGACCTGAATGAGTTTTTCCTGAGACCTGAATGAGTTTTTCCTGAGACCTGACAATGTTTTTCCTGAGACCTGACAATGTTTTTCTTGAGACCTGACAATGTTTTTCCTGAGACCTGAATGAGTTTTTTCTTAGACCTGAATGAGTTTTTCCTGAGACCTGACAATGTTTTTCTTGAGACCTGACAATGTTTTTCCTGAGACCTGAATGAGTTTTTCCTGAGACTTGACAATGTTTTTCCTGAGACCTGAATGAGTTTTTTCTGAGACCTGAATGAGTTTTTCCTGAGACCTGACAATGTTTTTCCTGAGACCCGACAGTTTTTCCTGAGACCTGAATGAGTTTTTCCTGAGACCTGAAAGCATTTTTCCTGAGACCTGACAATGTTTTTCCTGAGACCTGAAGGAMTTTTTCCTGAGACCCGACAGTTTTTCCTGAGACCTGAGACTTGAGACTGCCCTAAAATGCACACTGTAGTGCAGTTTTGTTGTAATCACTAAAAGCACAAATCAACAAGTTACATTTCATCACAGGATCATGAGCAGTTGTAACCATTCCCAACAATGTTTTCCACCATCTGGGGCATCAAGTCAGGATTAAAAACAACTTAATGATGCAGAAAAATCTGTTTGGAGTTGAGCTTCAGTGATTTACTTCAATCCTTGCTGCAAAAACCTAAGTCAACTACAACATTTCACAAGTTATAAAGTATTCTGCCACGTGGAGAATACTACAACAACGTAGGCACCAAGTAGAAACACCTTCATCGCTGGTGAGGATGTACYCACTCAAATGTTTTTGTYGTTTATCATATCCATAGATGTCCTAGTAAGRCAACAGGGTTTGACAGTATGTTTATTTTTTTAAAGAAAGAAATATATCATCAGATTATCGATACTGGCAAATGAAAAAAAGATTATCGAGATATTTATTTTGGTCCATATCGCCCAGCCCTAAGCCAAATCACTTTTTAAGGCAACTGGCATGAAGCAGTTTTATAGGGAGATTTAAACTTAAAATTTAGTAAAGTTTTAAAAACAAAGAAGCCTACCTTCTTTGGGAACATATTCAATCTTGATCTCTATAAAAAATAAAAAAGAAACAAACAAATCAGTCTTTTTAAAACATTTCTTAAGGTAAATTTATCGATATGTTCCTCACCCAGGAAGTGAAGCTTTGCAGAAAGAGTCAGGGCGTAACCGTCTGGGACAAACGTATAATCTCCTGCATCTGACGGCGTCACGTCATCAATCGTCAGCTTGTGGGTCCTGCAGACAGGAAATCAGACGTTACCGAAGAGACGACYCTTGTTAGGACGAGCTTTTCTGCACAGGACCAACTCCACGAGGCCCGGAGAGAAACTGCTGTCACCCTGTGTGACCGCAGGCTGCTCTGATGGAGGTTAGTGAGGAAAAACCCAAGTCTTTGAGCTGCTGTGCCTGTGTGTGTGCGTGTGTGTGTGTGTGTGTGTGCAGCCCATCTGAAAAATGGGTCAAACGACTAAGAAAACCCCCTGTAGTAATAGTTTGGCAGCCGGCTCTCCTGGCTGTGAAACTGTGTTTAAATGTTGGCGATCGACTCAAAGCGTCTGAAACAACCGCAGCCGCCCAACGCTTGGTTCAAACCTTCCGATATGGGCGATCTTGATCCGGTCGCTGGTCTGGACCTCGACGCCGTCCTTGAACCATTTTCCCGTCACGTTTTCATCGGACACCTCGCACTTGAACACAGCCTGCTCCGCTGCCTTCACCGTCAGGTCYGCCATGCTCTGCAGGATCTCCAGCTCCTTATCTGGCAAAGCGGAATTCAAATATTTYARTTTATTGAACATAATGTAATAAAATAATACACAAAGTTATTTACAAAAGAAAAAATATTTAAACAAAAAGTTAGCAAAAGAAGAACAGTGAATTATGTTTGCATGTCCAAACGATGTATAATAACTCTTTAAATTAACCCCAGGATTTGAGTTACAACATTTAATTTCCATTTGGGATTAATAAAGTATAATTGAATCTTTATTTTGAAGTCTTTATTTGACCTACTAGTATTATCCATCCCAATTAGCATTATTTTTGTTTTGGTCAGATTTAAGGACAACTTGTTCTGATCAAACCATAATTTCAGTTTGTTCATAGTTTTAGTTACATCATCAAGAAACTCCATCATATCATCTCCAACAGAAAAGACGTTAGTGTCATCTGCAAATAAAACAATTTTAATTTTTTTTTTGTTATTTACCCCTTTGCACCTACGTCACCAAGTCACGTGGGAACACCATGACGGACGTCAGAAGTGAGGGAGCGGTGTATTGAACAGAATGACTGCGATTGTTTTTCTAAGTTGTTTTCTGCCGTGGCTTCTAGACTTGTTGAAGTTGAGCTAATTTGTGGAAGTAGCAGACCTAGTCAGGCTCATAGACAGCTGTACTTAACATAGTTAACCAGTAAAATAGCTAAACGAGAAAAGTTCTGCCACACGCGTCACCCCCTTTTGGACATTAACTGCATCTTGATCCTCAAAAATCAGACCGAGCTGGTTATTTGTATTATGTTTTTATTTATTCACATCCTACAGGCTCTGACACGTCAACAGGAACAGGCGTCAGTGCTAGTGTTTTGGATGTTCTGCTTAAATATGGAGATTGGGATCAGAGATGTAAGTTTAAGGGTATTTTGGAGTGTGTTCCAGTCGTGTGCTGCTGCTAAGTGAAAAGCATTACGTCCAAAGGTGGTAGATGTTGGGATATAACAAGATCATTTATAACAAGATCATTTATGTAAAWAATGAATAATTTAGGCCCTAATACTGAACCCTGAGGAACCCCACAAGCAACGTCCAAACATTCAGAGAAAACATTTTTATTGTTTTCTATTTTCCAAGCAACTTTTTACCCAATTTAATCCCATATTTAGTCTCCATCGTGGCAAATCTTAAATTTATTTAAAGACGCATTTCACTTCGAACAGAAAAAGCAAAATTCCAAACTTTCAAACAGCAGTGGGTTGTTTTATTTATGCGAGCTGAATTTAAATGCATTTCCCCCTCCCTCCCCTRCCTCCTGAGGGTAGTTAGGGTCTCAGAGATATTTTGGTCACATGCATGAAGGTCAGACCTCACACTAACATTCAGTGGAAAGCTTCTCTGTTCACAAAATCTTCATCTTTTCGCCCTCGTTAACATGTTTTGCACAGATTCTACAAATAATTTTTCTGTAATCTTATCAAACGGGGGGACAGGCAGACATTTTCTCACGCTGGAATCAATTAGGAGCTGCCAGCACGACGGCCCGACAGCAGCAGCCAGATATCAGTGTTGGAGGTGTAAAAGAAAATTAGTGTGACGAATGGTGTGAACGGCTGATACAAGGGATTAATGCAGCCGTATTAATTACAACATAAGTAATGAGTAATTTGCTGCTTTTCATGCTTGTCAGAATGCAAAGCATCAACACGATCGGAGTGAATTTTCTTTACATTTCTAACTGGAGGGAGTCTGAAATGTGTGTCGATAAACTTTAAATAGCAGCTGATTAAGCTGCTCTTTGATTTTTCCCACGGCAGCTTTAAAGATGTCAGATCACTTTCCAATACTCTGAGGGTGCATTAATAATATCACATCCAAACATGTACGAGATGATCTTTGTGTCCCAGATTATTTGCACTAAATCTGGTAACGTTCAAAAAAAGTTGCCCGTAAAGCAGATTACCTTCAACCTCCAGTTCCGCCTTGGACTCCCCTCCGTTGGTGAAGGCGTAGTACGTCCCGATGTCCTCCTTCGTGGCTTCATTTATGATCAAAATGTGCTTCATTCCGTCTTTTTTCAACCTGTACTTTGAACCTGCCGTGTCTCTGTTCAGCTCCACCCCGTCCTTCATCCTGCAGGGCGACAAGGAATCAGAGAGTCATCAGAGGAGAGGAAGAGGAGCAGATCAACATGATTCAGAGGGATGTGTTAACGAGGACAGATTCATGGGTTGATTCGACGTTTTGAGTTAAAGCTTTGCTTACAAGGAAACAGCTCTATTCCAACACAGTGAACAGTTTAAAACAAGTTCTGCTTTGAATTTTGGATATAATGTTCCTATAATTTTTTTTTTTACAAAGACAGAAACTCTGCTGTAGGTTTAAGTTTGCAGACAAATCCTTTCAGTCGCCTCTGAAATTCCTTAAAGTGCCTGTWACGTCTAATTTTTGTAATAAATGTGAATGCATTTTTGGAAAGAGAACATTGATAACATGTTGCAAAATAAATTTCACGCCGTTGAGATGAACAGTTATTGAGATATTTACATGTGAAGAAACAGGAAGTGATGTCAAAGGGGAATGTCTGCATGTGAACAGAGCGATGCTACAATAATTAAAGAAGAATCTGATGTTTCTTTAGCTTATTCTGAGTCACTATCAGAGTTGAAGAAGAGTTTAAATAAGATTGTTTCAATAAACAAAGACTAGAGTTTCTTTTCTTAAAGAGCTCCCCTTTGATGTCACTTCCTGTTTCACTTTGCTGAGCCAAATTCAAGAGAAAATYTGCCAGTTATGAGACAAAATGAGTAAAATCGTGTGTATTATGCTAATTTTCTTAAATATAAATATGTTTTATTTGACTTTTTGCATTTGAAGAATAAGCATGTCACAGGGCCTTTAAAAACCTTTAAACATTTTTTATTTTGTAAGGGTGTCAAGCTAAAAGCAAGAACCGTAGGAAGTCATCTGACACCCTGGTTTTCAAAATAAAATCCCCCGGTAGCYTCTGGAATTGTTTAGAAGGCAAAAATCACAGTTTTTGCCCACCGGTGGAACAAAGACTGTCAGGGGYATAAATTAGTAGACCAACTGTCACAAAGCAGCCATGCAAAACCCTTTGTGCTATTTAAAAATCATCCTCTGACATCTGGCCTGAGAGAACATCTGCTCACCATTTAACYTTGGCTCCTTCTTCTGACACCTCCACCTCAAACTCCACCTTCTCCCCCACCACAGTGTGAACATCATCCAGGGGCTTGGTGATGGTGACCGGAGGGTCTGAGGACAAACAGATGAATATTTGTCCAGGATGTGTTTAAAATATCTTGTTCAGTGAAACACGTCTTTTTTTTGTTTTAAAATAAGAAAAACAGAGGGTGTTTTTTTAAGTTGAACAATGTGACAATGAAGTGTTAAAGGAAGCCCCCAAACCCATCTGTCTTTTAAAGGTGGTCTCCAGAGGAGGTGAGACATATTCTGTAAGCACACAGTGTGATGCTTGAGGCTCTGCTAGCCTCAGCTATTTGTCACAGTCTGAATTCAAACCCGCCTTCCCCCTCCGGACCCCCAGACATCTTTATTCCCTCAGCTGCTGAGGCCACACGCTGTCTATAACAAAACAGCAGCAGTTTAGTTTTTATTTTTCTCTGAAACTGATCTGAGAACTGTTGAAAATGAATCCAAAGGCAAAATAATAATAATAAAATT